GGAACATTCACTTTTTTTGCATTCCATCAATTATTTCCTTGCACACACATTTTTGGAATGACATTACATGTGTCAAACTATTTTCCCTGTTTCTGTGTGCAAAATATTACTTCCACCGGTAATTATTTCGAATGACAGTAAAGGGGTTGAATATTTGTCCTTTTTCCATCCTGTCAATTATTTTGTTGCACACAAATTCCTGCAATGACATTACACGTGTGAAACTACCCTTCCTCTTTCGTTTTGCAAAATATTACCTCCACCGATAATTATTTTGAAGGATTTTAAATGAGTTGAACATGTGATTTCTTCGGTGCTTTATTATTTCTTTGGCACCCGAATTCACGGAATTAATTTACATGAACGAAATATTTGTCTGGTTATTTTCGTTTAATTTTGTTGTGTGGTGAATATTTACAATAAGACTAGACTGTTTGATCAGGCGCCTTCTCCTGGTCCTTTTCCTTCCTTGTTCGGAGCTGTCATGATTCATACGCAATTAAATCTGCATAAAAATTCCTCCAATTTCTGTTCATCTTTTTGGCACCCGGAATTTTTCGGAATTAAATTAACCGTATGGTATATTGCCTCGTTGTTATTTGGTTAAGTTTTTTTTGCCATCTCGATGCGGGTAATAAAATTCATCAAATCAAACATCATGCTGCCTGTTTCTTCCTTGAATTTTCCTTCCCAAAGCATTTTATGGAATAAAATCTTCCCCGCGGAACATTTTTCGCCTGCTTTTTTCTCCCAATTAATTGGCCGCTATTTTATTGTTCGGAATAAAATTAAACGTAGGAAAAATCCTCACTTCCCATCTTCTTTTAACGAGTTCTTGCCCCGTGAAATTTCTCACCAATCTTAAGCGGAGGAAACACTGATTTGTTTTGGTCATCTTAATTTTTGCGACTACTACAATATATGTAATAAAATTACCCGTGTGGAAAACTCGCCTTTTTTTTTTTGGTAATTTTTTCTGCTATTGCAACATATGTAATAAAATTACCCGCGTCGAAAACTCGCCTTTCTTTTTTTGGGGAATTTTTCTTGCTATTGCAATATATGTAATAAAATTACCCGCGTCGAAAACTCGCTTTCTTCCCTTTTGCGAATTATTTTTACTATAGCAATATATGTAATAAAATTACCCGCGTGGAAAACTTGCCTCCTGTTCCTTTGCGAATTATCTCTGCTATAGCAATAGATTTAATAAAATTTCTCGCGTCGAAATTCTCTTTTTTCTTCTTTGGGTAATTACTCTTGCTATTGTGATGTATGTAAGAAAATTAAAGGGGGGCAATATCCTTCCCTCGTTTCCCTGCTGGATTACGCCCTGCCACGATAATGTTGGAAACAATATTAAACCGGTCAATCATTTCCTCTTGTCCTGTTCGATTAACTACTCCTTTGGATTATGATCTTTTGAATAATATTAAACAAATAAATCACGTTTCCTTGTTAACCTCTTGAAAGATCTTCCGTCCCGTATATCATCATAATAAAATTAACATGAGGAATCAATTGTCCCTTAGGGTTGATTCAATTTATTCCTTACCTATAAACTTGTTCGATAACTTTAAGTGTGGGAAGAATCGTCGGTTGTCTCCTTCTGGCCAAATATTCCCATGGCTCAACATCTACTCAGGAATATTGATATGTGAATTACTCCTTGATATGGGATTGTTCAGTGCTAAAGAATCGGCCATGTGCGCACTCCGGAAATAATGTCAGATTTGTATAACAGTCCTTTCTTTCCTATTGGCATTATAGGTTTTAATATTACTCATTTTACTCTTCCTGTAGCTTAGTGTTTCGGGGTTACTTGAATTTTTCTTAATACTCATCCAAGGAGGTGCTGAGGAGTTATTTATTACTTGGCGGCTGACATTTCCACTTGCTAATGGACGACAGTCCACCACCACGATACTAATAATGAAAGATTACAACATACAACACATCGAAAAAAGGTTGAGATTGTCTTTCTGTTTGACCCCGTATAAGGTGGGACTTATAACCTATTCCTCAGACAAAACCCTACTTTAGGGGGGATTTCTTGACCTTACTAAAGAGAAAGACACGTTCTCATGGGGTTCTCTTCTCTTGCTGGATGGGACAAACCAAAATGAAGGGATAAAACAACACTTCACCTAGGTCCTGATTCTTACCCCTCCGGGAGACGTATGGGTTAGTCTCTTGCTACCAGGCCTTAGAATGATGGGATATTCCAAACACAACCGACGTCAAAGGTGGTGTCTTTCCTCTTTTGACTCATGGATCAATTCTTCCTTGCCAAAGACGCCTCCTCACGTCTAATTAGGGGGACAAAAGTTGTTGTTCGACTTCTTCTCTTGGGACAATCTAAGTCCTCTAATAACCAGTCAGTGGATCCCTTACTAATAATTAACGGACAAATAGACTAATAAAACAAAAGACGACACATGGAAGAACACAATACAGACTCCAAGGGGACGCCCTTGAGGACATAACCTATTGTCCTGGGGAGAATTAACATAGGGTAGGATGTTAATCCTATTGGGAACAGGACGCTTAACTGCACCAAGGTGCACAAATATGTTGTGACTTCAAGTTGGAGATTACAGTATCAAATTTGACTTGGGAAGCAGATTATCTTAGTATAGGTTTTCTCCCAATCTAAAATCCTAAACCGAAACCTCAAGACTCTCGTATTCTGGAACATAAGGAACTGAAATATTGATGCTTCTTCTCCGTGATTTAGGCTTATGCTTCCCTTTGTAAATCCGAAATATGCCATATGCGGCGGCCCCGCCCAGTAAGATAATTGCTAAGACACCACCCACGGTCCCTCCCAGATTGATACTGGGATCGGTATCGCTCGTTGTGGGAGGATTCAGAAGGTTTGAGTCTGCTGGTTGGTTATTTAACTCTTTCGAATCCGAGGTGAGAGGAATGTTCTCCCCGGCTCCTTGTCTGGGGGGTATGGCGGTCGCTCTGTTACTCACCCCCCCTTTATCCTTGGGATTGATACTTCCTGTTGTGGGGAATTCTTTTCCTTGGAGGTTGCCACGGTCCACTGAATTCCCTGTTACCATGGAACTTAATCTATCCGTGTCTGGTGTAGAGCCAAGGGTATGGTTAGTGTCCCCGGTACTGTCTGGGGTTCTGTTGCCTCCTTTCGAGGCTTCGTCGTTGCTCCTGCTGGTTGCTAGGGTTGAACTATTTCGTCCAAGGGGGTTGATATTCCCTTCAGTCTGTCGCCCTCCCAAGTTTGTGTCACTTGTTCCTGCCGGCAACTGATTATCCTTGGAGTCTGGGAGTGATTTTTTTATAGGATTTACTCCTAAATCACCTGTAGTCCACACCCGTCCTGTTGATTTACCACAGGTTATTACCCGATTTTTAACTTCACAATACTTCTCTCCTTTTCCTGTTTCGACCTCGGAAATTTTGTGAACCCACCGAGTGATGTTATAGGGTCCACACGCTTGACAAAGACTAGCCAAACTTCTATATACTGTTAATACTAAACTCATACTTGCACTCTCACATTTTTTGTCCCCTGCCCCGTCTTTACATTCATGTTTTTCCTGCCCGGAGAGTCTCCTGTTACCCCCCAACCAAGCGCTCCAGTTAGCCCAGTTTTGAACTAAAGCTTTATCCATCTCCTCACATAATTGCGCCCTTTGGGGATACTTTGTTTTCTCGTCCGTCTCTGAACTTGTCAAGCCTGTTAAAATGCATACTATTGCCATGAGAAGTCCTTGACCGAGTTCATGTTTATCCCATCGCTCCGTAGGTTTACCGGTGCTGTTCAATAAATTGTACCATTCTCCTCTCCCCCATAATAGGGCCTGGCTTCCTGTATCGTTATCCGCTATTAGATCGTCCCCAATTTGATTTATCACTTTATCGATCACTTGACCCCAAGTGAAGGGGGGATCTGTTTTACTCTGCTTTAGGCACGTGTTAACCTCTGGGCTGAAATCCTTTGACCATCTGTCGGAGGCTGCTGGTTGGATTACTCTTTGAAACCATTCATTCAGACCTTTCCATTTGGGGTTTTCATGTTTTGTTAAGTTGGGATAACAATATTGGCTCCTTTCACTTGCCTCACAATTATCTTTTTTGGTGGGGGGATAACCCCAGTTGGATTGGGCCTTGCTCCAATCATTCAATCTCCAATCCTTATTTTTAGGCTTCCCCATCCTTACAATGGGAGGCTCATAAGTTTTATTCTAGATATTCCGTTCGGCCTCCTGTTTTTATCATTATTTCCCTCTCATTTGGCCTCGGCGAGTTTTGTCAGAGTTGCTTTGGTTTGGAGGATTTTCTGGTTCCTTTGGCTAAAAACGATCCTGGAGTTGGGGATTTACTTTTTCGAATTCTCACTTACTCCCTTATTGCTCCCTTTGGGTGTGAAGGAGAAATCTTATCAGGGGAATCTTCAACATTAGTTGTTGGGACTCGTATATATTTTAAGCAGGCTTACTTATTAGAGGTTTGACCTTGTGGGGGCTGCTTCTTGAGGTTGGGAGGTGGACCCACCCGGAGAATCTCTAATTTGTTCTTTCTCGGGGGTTTGGTTGGATTATTCCTCTTCGCTTAGGTGAGGTTTTGGGTTGGTTGTTATTCGGGGGGAGGAGCAATTTTTTTGAGAAGGGGGGGGGGAGATTAAACCACTGCTGGGGTATACTTCCTCTTCAGGGTACTTCTGAGGTATCTGCCAACTTTAATCCCACCTTATTATAGCTCGATATGATCTTTGGTCAGATTCTTGATCCCTCAGGGGCTGCGTCTGTCATGTTGCGTAAGCAAGCTCTTTTGGGTGGTGGGTTTCTTAATTATTAGTCATTTTGTTCCTTTTAGAGTTATATGAGCTGTTGCCGTGGATTTGTTAATCAAGTGTTTTCCCCATGTAGGGTCGTGTTGAATTTCATTTGATATACCGGAATTCTTTCTGTAGTTGTCGTTACTGAATCCTAGTTGTTGGATACTTGGGATTATTCTAACTGGATGTTTATGTTGTGGTAGTGAGCTCTATTGGGGGCCTGTTGTTAGGTTACCTTATTTTATTTACTTTCCTGATTTCGCTAGGTTCCCGGTCCTCAAGAAGGCTCTGTTTTTGGGAGCCACCTCCCAACGCTAAGGAGGAGGGTTTGGTCTATTGCATAATGCTGATTGTTTGGCTTCTTAAGGTTTCCCAAATTATCGTTCCTTTCAGACTTCATCCTAATCCGGTTTGTTATGGGGGAATATAGCCGTCGATCTTTGAGAATTATTAGTGAGAACTTGGGCATGGTGAAGTATCAAAGGCTTATAGATTAGGCTAAGTCACTGTTAATTAAATTTCCTGGAATAAGAAACTACCCCTGTTCTATCCTCGCTTGTCAGTGTGGTTAGTCTTATTTTGTCGGGGGAAGGATTTTAGTCCTGGTATGGTTTTTTTTTCCCCTTAGTCAGGTTGTTGGTGTGCAATGTGAGTATTTACCCGGAGACTTTTCTTTGGGGGAGCCTGGTCTGGCTAGGTTCTGGGAGTTAATTCGAGGTATGACAAATCTTGGGACGGATTCGTTAATATATTGGCCTATTTCGACTTGTACCCTTTCTCAGCTGCAAATGCTTAATACTTTTGTCGTTCTACGTTAGTTCTGTTTTTTGCCTGCTGTTCTGATTGTATCCCAGTAATTGTTCTGTGATGCGGTCTTCTCCTTGCTTTGGTTAGTCGTCCGACTTGGTCTTTTTTTTTTTTTATCATGATCTCCATTGCCTCCATGAGATGTGTGGTGTGGAGGTGTTGTTTAGGGGGTAGGATATTAGTTCCCCCGCTTTGTCTGTTGTTTTATGATCCTTCACTCGTTAATTTGATTTGTACTTGAGTTGTTCTGGACTTGGCGATTTAGTCCCGGATGCTATTACTCCGCGGAGTTGTTTATTGCCTGGTGGACTTTTCTTAAATTTTCCCTTTCTTATAGAGACCTTTGTGCGCCTAATTAGTGAAATTCCTCAACCTCCAGCCCAATTCTTCGTATCTACATCCTTGGAGGGGCTAAGGAGTCATTTGCCTTTGTCTTAATCCTTATATCAAATGGACTTAACCTCACGAATTTGACCTGAATACTGGGAATTATTGTTGGGCTTTCTAATGAATCCCTCCTGCTAAGAACTTGTCATCACGATATACTTGCCCCTTAGTTTTCTTCTAGGAATGTTTGACTGTATTTGGGTTTCTTATTTGTTAAGGATCGCTCTGAGGTCCTTGTCTGGTGGTTCTCTTAAGCATTATGCCATCACTATTGTCTGTTGGAGCTTGGACGTACCCTCAATCACTTCCTGTTGCGTATTTATAACTATCCCTGGGGAGTCCCTCCTGGTCCTTGATTCCCCTCCTATACATGTTTTTTCTAGGGGATTTTCTCCTCCAATTTTGTCCTTTTTGGCTTCCTTTTCTTCTTAGATTGGGCCGATATCTTTCTCAGGGGGGCAGTTGTTATTTACTGGTTGTTGCATATAGGCTTCTTTTTCTACTTCTACTAGCTCATATATATCATCCCATCTCCCCACTATCAATGACCTTCCCAGTTTCTTGCTTTAGTAAATATTAACTGACAGAAATTTAGAAACACATATTAGAAATCCTTAGGATACTCTTAATAATTTAACCAAACATAAGAACACCTTCACGAAAAATAAGGTTTATCTCACGATATTATTCCTAGCATAAGCTTAATAATCATAATGCGTTACAGTTTCCGACTTTAAATAAACGTGACGTCTAATGACGATTTCTATAGTCCATAAACATCTTCCTACAGATTAAACCCTACCATTATAGACGTTTTTTGGGACTTCCGATGTAGATTCCATAAGTACGAATGTTTCCTAAGATCGACAGTTAGGCATCTCACTACGTAACCTAGTCAGAGATAGGTTCCCTGATTAAGGTTAAAGAGTTCCCGAACCGTTAAGTCCAAGGCGATCATTATGACGTCACTACGAGTAATCCACTCTCTCAGGGTTTGTCAACATATTTTTACGAAACAAGTTTTTCCTTTAGTTGTTTCAAACATGCATAAAATCATATTTATTCATATGGACAATCAATGGACACAACTAAAAAATCATCATTGCAATGTATTAATAGACGGCATCCCTTTATTATAATATCAATCACTACTTGTAAGATATAAAACAGCATATACTCTCTTATAGGCGTTCTCGTTATGATGTCAGTTCTTAGCCTACTTCTAAGAGGGTTTATGCTGTTTGTTTTAAA